GAAAGTGGTGAAATCTTCCCTTGTGACCTCATGTAGTCGTTAATAACCCTGGGGCCGGGGGAGGGGTCAGGAGGTTATGTCACTTCGGGTATGAGGAAAATGAAGGCCTAAAACAACGATCACCTTAGTGAGTGGCAGAACTCACACCCATCTCCTAGGCCTTGGCTCAAGTGAAATCCTTAATTTGACATTGTCGAGGGGATACTTGAGAAGGTGCCCTCAGGGAAGTGAGTTGAAAGCTAAGCCCCCAGATTTGCATCGGCTGTAAAGTCAGGGAGAATTATTATGCTTAGGTCTTCGTGGTCGTCGTGTTCACTGTTTAAAATAAGTCCCAGATACTTCAAAATAAAAAGTTTTTTTAAAAAAAACAAACACAAACAGGCCTGGATGGTGCCCAGATGTGTACAGCTCGTGACCTCTCTCCTAAGAGCCTGGTGAACGCCAGACTGGGAGTGTTTTACTTACAGACTTTATAGTCCTCAGTCACTACAAATTACTTGTAGCCATGCAAGGAGTCAGGGAGGTGATTCAGGACTGTGGTTTTCAAATTAAAATTTAAAAAGCGTTGGAGTTCTTTTTCAAACAAAATCTGTCACAGAACCTTAACATACAAAGTAAATGTGTGTAAGAAAACTTGTTTTACTACTAAACATTTGTAAGTTCAAATTTTTAACATTATAGGTAAATTAAAAAACAACGAGGCTGGTTTGTTGCTGTCTTGGGGGTTTTCTTTTTGTTTTGCTTTTAGCAAAAAAAGGAATTCATTGGAAGGAAGTTGGGTAGCTAAGATAATAAATAGGAAGTCTGCAGACCAAGCTCAGAAAATGTATGTTTTGGTCCCACTGCCACTGGACTTGACCCTGCTGTTGTGTGCTTGAAATATTTTGAAGTTGGGGGTTATGGACAACAGTTGCAGTTGTAGCAGCCTAGGGACAGTTTATTTCTTATTCCTCTGTTTCGGTTGTATACTATGGAGAATATCCTGAGCCCTCCAGAGAAGTAGATACAAATAAGAGTGGTTTTTAAATGATTGACCTTGAACTCTTGGGCTTGTGCTTCAGTTATAAAGATGGCGGGTGGAGATTAATTCTGAGATCTACACTGAAATGACAACCTCAATGTGTAGGCAGTTTTGCAATATGTTAAATTTTGGCATTGAATCTTTTTTTGGCAATGTAAAAATCTATTTTAAAAAGTGAAACTTGAATCAAATATTTGTGGAGCCTCTGAAGTACGTCTCAGAAACCCTAGGTTCTGTGACATGTAAGAGAAAAACCACTGATAAAGAGAAGCAGAGATTTAGATAGGTTTCATTGCATTCTCTCATGAAGGCTTGGGAAAAGGGCTAGGGAACTGAAGGATTTGTGTTGGGATATGCTCTCTTCAAAAAACCTCATTAGTGATGATGATTTACCTTATCTCCCTCTCTTTTGTAAGGTAGGAAATTCCTCCAGAGATGACAGCTGGGGGACCGACCACACCCAGGTAGTCAAGAGTGTTTGAATAAAATATTACCCTAACCTGATGATTCAGAGCTGGAGAACATGACTTCTGTATATCTCTTCTGACATAATTGAAAGAACATAATTTCTCAAAAAACTCACAATTCAGATCAGATGCTTGATTTTCTTTTCAGTTCCAATTCTCAAGGGCCATGAAACAAAGGGGCTTAGAAGTTGGTATTCAAAAACCTAAGTGAATATTTAAAAAACACTGTGTCCAACAATTAAAAAATAAATACACGAATACTTAGTTTTCTACAAAGCATGGAGAAATGGCATATCCCTTAGAAGGAACCTTAATATAAAGAGTGATGTTGTGTATAGCACTTAGCATGTACATGGCTGTATCACTCTGTTCCTAAAAAGGATTTAGGCTTCTTGTTTTTGTTTTAAAGAAACCTAGGACATTGTAGATGTTCAAAACATGCTAAAAATTAGTTCTACAAAATTGACAAATTAGAATATATTAAAATTAAGACTTTCTGTTCATTAAAAGGCACCATTATGAGAGTGAAATGGTAATCCACAGAGTGGGAGAAGTATTTGTAATACACAGGTCTGACAAAGCATTTGCAATCTAGAACAAGTCATTAAAAAAAACACACACAATCCAATAGAAAGGTTGAAAAAATATTTGAATGTATTCTTCACAAAGAATATCTGAAATAAACATAAAGGTGAAAAATGGCTTAATTTCAGTAATCATCCAAGAAATGGAAATTAAAACCACAATGGAATACCATTACACACCCACCAGGGTGGCTAAAGTAGAAAAGATAGAAAGTACTAAGTGTTGCCCAGCTGGGCGTTGCTCAGCGGTTGAGCATTGACCTAGGATCCAGGCAATCGGGGTTCGATTCCTGGTCAGGGCACATGCCCAGGTTGCGGGCTAAATCCCCAGTCTGGGGCGTGCAGGAGGCAGCCGATCAATGACTCATCATTGATGTTTCTATCTCTCTCTCCCTCCCTCTCCTTTCCTGTCTCTCAAGTCAGTAAAGATATATTTAAAAAAAAAAAAAAAAGTACTAAGTGTTGGTGAAGAAATGCAGCTATTATAACTTTTATATACTGCTGGCAACCTCTTTGGAAAAATTGGGGGAGTATATATTACAGCTGAATATACAGGCATACCTCGTTTTTTTGCTTTTTGCCTTATTGAGCTTTACAGATGTTGTGTTTTTACAAGTTGAAGGCAAGACTGTCCACCAGCAAAAAGACTACCAAACCTGCTTTAACTCTGAGGTATGCCTGTATGCATTCCTTATGACCCAGCCATACCACTCCTAGGTATATATTTGTATTGGTGTGCTCAGGTTTTCATAACATAATATCACAGACTGGGTGACTAAACAACAGAAGTTTATTTCTCACAGCTCTGGAGACTGGAAAATTTAAGACCTAAATGTCAGGCAATTGGGTTCTTGGTGAGCTTTGTTTTGGCTTGCAGCTCCGTCTTACCATATCTTCCCATGGCAGAGAGAGCTAGTTCTGGTGTCTGTCTCTTCCTTTCCTTATTAGGGCACCAGCCCTTATGATCTCATTTAACCTTATCACTTCCTCATGGACCCTATCTCCAAATACAGTCACATTGGGTATTAAGGATTCAACATATGAATTTAGAAGGGACACAAATATTCAGTCCATAACGAAAACATCCCCCACCAGAGTGGTACATTTTTGTTATAAATAATGAACCTACTAATTACTCTCTTTCTTGACCTGGATTCTAGTTAAAAGGGTGTATTCAGTTAGTGGATTCTTTGAACATATATGTGCACTTTTCTGTATGTATATTATTATTCAGTAAAAAGTTTGAAAAAAATCAATGAATTCTACAGGTAGTGTTATATATTAACACATCTTATTAGTGTTTATGAACATGTAGAGAGAACATATATAGTGGACATGACCCAAACATGACCTTGTACATAAATAGGATATTTATTCTCATGTTGTTTTTACAACCTTGCTGTGAGATCCTGTAGGGTAGGTTTTAATTCACTGCTATTCTCAGAAGGAGAATTATAGACAAGAACTGAGTGAATATGTTGGTAAAAGATAAAGGACTTATGAAAAAGGGATAGAAATGTTTACACTTAGGATTTTATTTATAATTTCCAGTTTGAGGCTTAAGAATATTTGGGCGAAGGAAAGAAGGACCATGGAGAGGATTCACACTCCAGAATGCTTTGGAACTTAAAAACAGATACCCAAAAGAGCCACCCAAATCTGCTTAACGGCTCAGTGGCCTCTAAACCAAGCTCAGCACCAGAGGAGGTGTCTGTGAGTTACCCCTATAGCTGAACGAATGCTCACTAATTCTCCCACTCCTATCAGTGGCAAACACTGCTTGCTGCTCCATTCCTATAGCTTTGTGTCTGCCCTGGCAAGGACAATGTACATGGGTTTTATGCAAAGTTATCTTCATGGAAGTTCTGAGTTATGGCAGAAGTCATTAGGAAGGGAAGGAACTGCTGTATTCTTATCTA